ATGATAGAAATCATGATTCTGAGAAAGGGAATGTATGCAGCTAACAAATAAAGATACTGGACTAAGAAGGGGCACAGTCAACTGGTACACAGACTGAAGAGAGGTGTCAAAGACAGTGTGCAGTCTGGATCTGCCCTGCAGATCCCTATGATCTGGCCTGTGATAATGCCATGGGTATTGCACTGCAGCATGCAGTGTGCATCAGATTCGGCTGGATCTGGCACGTGGGCCCAGTTTACTGCATACTCTGCACACAGTACATAGGGCTGATTTGGTGCATGCACTGCATGTGATGTACAGGCCAGTCTGGGGCATGTGCTGCATGCAGCAGTGTAAGCGTGCTGCCAAGCCAGCTGGCCTCTGCCTGCAGGTTCTGCTCCCTGAAGAGCTCCTCAGCCAGTCCTCCAATTAAAAACACAGTGTTTGAGCAGCAAACAAATGAACATAGAAACAAATCAAACCAAAACTTTCTGCTCTGTTTGGGGTCCTAGGAAGGGAACCCTTTAGTTCTGGCCCCAGAATAGTATCTTGGCTCTCCTTGGTAGCAAACTTGTTCAGCTCATAGCTTGCCTTCTGCTCACAACTGTTCCCTCACAGATTGCTTCTCTTCTGCTCCTAGGGAGACATTTCTTCATTATCTAACACCCCACAGCTAAGCTTTATCAACATGGTTGAGTGTTCCCTTTTAAAGGTAGAGGCCACCCTGTTACAGGCTGCTGCACTAGACAGGCCTTGTGCTACTCATCTGAACCATAGATCATGATGAGTTTGATACCCCTGGGTTCAGAATAAAAGAGTTCAGGAGAACCTGCAGTTTCTAAAGGACATAGCACAGGCAGCTTGACAAAAGGCTATTCCAACATGGGAGAAACATAAGAAGAACAGAAGAAGACTGATGTGGCTATGGAAGGAGCTTCTCAGATGCCTCAAAATACATGTACATATACATATACATATATGTACCCCCTCCTGGCAAGGATCCATGCAATATGTATACGTATATGTATATACTTGGTGGAGGAAACCCTGGTAGGGATATGAATGATGGTTAGCCAGTTGGCTTAGAATTTGTTGTAGCCCAGGAGCTTGAGTTTTCTCTTTCTTAGTTGTATAAGACCAGAGGACCAGAAAGACAAAGAAAGCTTAAAAGACAGGGTTGTGACAGGGCGCAACCTAGGGGTGCTGTGATCTCCCCTAGTGCCCCCTACTGTGCCAAGTCAGTTTCAATGCACCCTCACTATCTTTTGCCGGGAGGGGGCTTGCCCCGAGCACAGACCCAGCTGCGGAAGCTGGGCCCCACCCCCACCTGCAGCAATGAGTGACCATGACAGGCAGCAGCCTGTCACTGCTTCCCGAAGCACGAGCTCCTTCCCGGCAGGGGCCGCTCTGCGGAGTGCGGCAGTACTGCGGGGGGCTTGCATGGCTCTGGCCCACTTGGGACCCCGGTGCTGTCACACAGCCTGCTGCAGCTCTGCCAGCCCCGCAGCGCAGTGCCCCCATCAGGAAGGGGCTCGCACTCTCCCACATGATGAGAGGGGCTGTTGCCCGCAACAAGTGCCCTGCCCCTTCCTGCTGCAGAGGCGGGAGTGGATGTGGCCAGGCAGGGTCCCTGAGGGGAGAACAGGGCAGGGAGCATGGTGGTGAGGGCGGGCAGGCCCGGTTGCAAGTGGGGTAGAGGGGAGACTAACTCTTCTCCCTGCCCCTCTCTGCCTCAGGGGCCATGGTGCCCTGCTGCTGCAGCACTGAGCGGGGAGCACCCTCTTGCTGGGAGGGGGCTTGCCCCAAACACAGACTGAGCCGTGGGGGCCAGGCCCTACCCCCGCCCAGCAGCTGGAGTAGCAACGTCATGGCTTACCAGACCATGAGCCCCTTCCCAGGCGGGGGCCAATCTGCGGGGCTGGCAAAGCTGCTGCAGAGCATGGCAGTACAGCGGGGGGCTTGCAGGGCTCTGGCCTGCTTCGGATCCTGGTGCTGCCATGCACAGCCTGCTGCAGCTCTGCCAGCCCTGCACCACAGTGACCCTGCTGGGAAGGGGCTCATGCTCCCCCACATTATGACAGGAGCTGCTGCCCCCAACAAGGGCCCTGACCCCTCCTGCTGCAGCTGCGGGAGGGGACACAGCCAGATGCTGACTGGCAGGGCCCCTTGGAGTGGGGCAGCAGGGACAGGGGTTATTCCTCCTCTGTCCAGCAGAGGAGACACCAGGGGTCCTATTCCCAGGCAGGAAGCATGGTGGTGAGGGCAGGCAGGCCCAGGTGCCAGTGGGGGTAGGGGGGAGCCAAACTCTCCTCCCTGCCCCACTCTGCCTCAGGGGCCATGGTGCCCAGCTGCTGCAGCAGCAAGCAGGGAGTGCCTGGCAGACCCAGCTCAGGTCGCTGCCGGTGGGATAGAGAGGGAGGAATTAAACCCCTCTCTGGCCAGTTCAGCACGGACTGGCCATGCCCCCACCCAGCACAGTTTCAAGGCATCCAAGGGTGTGCCCGCATTGCCTTAGTCCAGAGTCCTGGTACAAATTGGTTCAGCCTAGACAGGTTAGACTAACCTGCAAAGGTTGAATCAGTTCAGGCTGTGGCTTTTTGATTGTCTGTCCCTAGCCTAAATGTATGAGAGATGTGCTATATGTGAGGGGGATGTTACATGTAACTATGGTCAAGGCACCCAAGGGAGAGAAGGGGTACAGATTTGGCTATAAAACCCAGGCAGAGATGAGACCTGTGGATTTCCCAGAAAGACTTTCTGAATCCCTGGCTGTAAAGCTTTCTGTTGTCTTTTTGGTTTATTGTATTGCATTTTAAATTAAACTATGTATTGTCACTCCGTCTTATTGGGCTGTGTCTTAGTTTAGGTGAAGTCTAATATTAAATCTGGTAACAATGACATTACCGTGGATTGTAGTTTCTGGAAACTGGAGTTCATAGTATATGCAAGGAAATATGGCAAGAGTAGTTTCTCCTGCTTACAGGGCAAATGTGAAAGAAAAGTCTGCAAGCGAGCCTCAGGAAACAGAACAGTGAGCAAGGATGGCTCCCTAGCTGCTGTCACTGTTATTTACTACAAGAAAAGATCTTTTTTTCTTTTATTCTGCCTTAAAAAAAAGCCAGGGCTCATATGTTATTCTCACATTTTATGGGAGAAAATATAGTATTTGAAAACAGTCATATCCCCCCACCTTAGTTTCACCAAACTAAATATACCTAATTCTCTCAACCCCTCCTCAGCTTGCATCCAACCTCTTTATCATCTTTGTTGCTTGTTTTTGGATCCTTTCCAGTTTCTCCACATCCTTTTTAAATTGTAAAGCCCAGAACAGAACACAGTATATTATCTAGGCCAGGTACAGACATTCCTCTTTTACCAGTATAAGTGATTGGACACTGGTCTATACTCAGAACAGAACAGAAGTTTGGCCCACAGACTGGTTTAAAAGGGGTGGAACCCAGTCTAAGATTTGACACCCCCCATCATCACCACCACTGCCACCAAAAGGCAAATGTGGGTTCTGTTCACTACCAATTAAACTATGCTGCTTACAGAAAACTGCATAACTTAGACTGGTTCCGCCTCGGGCTTTTTGAATGTCCGTACCTAATCCTAAGAACTAACAAGTACTGAGTAGAGGGTTACTGTTACCTCCTGCTTCTTACTATAGTATTTTGGGCTCCTGTTAGTGCAGCCTAAAATTGCACTTGCTTTTTCATATTGCTGGCTCATGTTGAATCTGAGATCTACCAAAATGTCCAAAACCATTCGCAGCAACACTACTGCCTAATTAGAAATCTCTTATTGTGAACTTGTACACTTATTTTATGTAGGGAAGCTTAAACACCTTACTTTTTGTCTTTGTTGAACTTGACTGAGTCATCTTCTGTTCATTCTCCAGCCTGTCAAGGTTCTTTAGAATTTTACCTATTCCTTCAAAGTGTTGAAAAGCCTTTCCAGCTTTGTCATCCACAAACTTGATCAGGGAAGTTCTCTCTTACATTGAAATCATTAATAAAAATGTTAAATAACATCAGACCCAGAATACACCCCTGTGGAACCGGACTTGAAACCTCCTACTATTTTGACATTGATACAATTACTCTATGTTTGTAATCATAGGCAAGAAGCAATCAGAAAATCATTTAATTCTAGTCTGCCCACTTATTGTAGGCTATGTCATGGCTGCCTCTAACAGTAGGAGATTCAGCTCGGTGGGCCAGGAAGTCTGTTCCAGTCTAATCTTCTGTGTTCCAACGTAATTCAATACTTTGGGATTCTTCAGGATGAAAGGTACTGAGCATAGGTGGGTATTAATAAGATTACCCCTTGCTTTTAATTTGGTAGCAGGAGGTTATAAATCAGCAGTTTATCCATATGCATGTTTTTTTTCTTACATTCCCTATAAAAACACCTTAACTTCTCTTCTTAGTTTGTGAATCTGCTGGCTACATCTGTGGTTTTTCAGCTGACTCTGTCTACAGATTTCCATCTAGCGTGAATTGAAATAGACTTATTCAGACAATGGAGATTGGATCAAGTTCCCACTTGCTAATGTTTTAATGGACTGCTCTGTTTCCACATTAAAGCACTTGGTTGGTATGTGCACTATTGTATGTGCTGTAAACCTGCCTGTCTTGCCCTCTAGTGGCTGTTATGAAAATAGTTTAACATTAATCCAGACAGTTGATGTCTCTCCTGAGATGAGTCTGGAGCAGAAGGCTTGGAGTCTGATTTCATTTTTCAGTAAATCAGTGCCAGTGTCATAAGAAATGCTATTAGGTAGGCAAACAAACAGGAAACTGTCCCAAAACAGAGTGAAAGAATGGAATGATATCAGCATGAGCCTTAGGGTGCAACTGTTATATCTGCATGATTTTGTAACCATACTAGTGTACTGAAACTGCTGCAAATTTAACCTTCTTTTATTCAGAGTAAAAGTTAGTGTGCTTTAGCTATATCATATTGCTACAGCAGGGGTGGCAAACAGGAGCGCACAAGCCACAAGTAGCATGAGGTGCCATGTGCAAGCCCCAGATGCTAAGGAAAGGGAGGCACAGGAATGGAGGCAGGGATTGGAACACTGCACGGGGAGGTGTCAGCTGTCATCACTAAGAGCCAGATTAACACTTCTCTGGCCCTGCAGCTGCTGCCAAATTCACACCCCCATCACCGTATGAAACTGCAGCAGTTATGGGGATAGGGAAGGGTTAACCTGACCCTTTCTTAGCAGTGACACTTCTTGCTGCAGCAACCTGCCCTTGTTCTGCTCTGGGCAGCAGGGTTGCCAACCGTCCAGGAGCCTAATTGAAGCTCTGTGTTGTGAGTGAGCCCCGATGCTGAAGAAGCCATGGAGCAGAGCACTGCCATCCGACATCTGAATGAGAGCACAGTGCCCTGCAGGGAGCATTGTCTCAGGGCATTGTAGGCCATGGAAGCCCTCCCCACAACAGCTACGTGCTGCTGCTGCATCTTGTACTTGCCTGTAACAATGCTTGTTCACAGGTAGGCAGACAGTAGTTCTTCCTTGGGCCTCCATACCAGGATGGGGAGTAGGGCCAGTGGAGGTAAGGCTGGGGAGGGAGACCGGGGGGGGCATCAGGACGAGGGGGTTAGTAGGGGACCCCTAGGATGGGGCCAGCACAGTGTAAAACCATTGCATCACGTGAGCAGGATTGCCAATCCAAGAATGCTTTTTTGGACTGATAACTGGAACACTTTTTACTGACATCCAAACTTTTTTCTATGTTGGGTGGTAACCACCTGAATTTGAACCCTGCCCTTGTCAAGGGCCTGGCAGAAGCCTTATATGTACAGTATGTAAAATATATGCTAGTAAAAATAATTTGGTTGTCTAGTAAAAAGTTTGCAGATTGTCGGTAAAAATATTTGTCTTGGGTTGGCAACCTTGCTGTGTAGCCACAGGTGGAGGTTCAAGACCCCTGCCTCTATTCTGGTGCTCCAAGGTACAAACTCTGAGGTGCGCCTCTGGGGGACAGGGATTAGAGTAGCACTTGATGCAGGGAGGCTAAACTTGTGGCAAGCCTGCCAAAAAGCTTGGCCACCACCGTGCCTCAGGATCAGGCAGATATCAGATTTATGATTAAATTGTTATATTTGCTCATGGCAGCTGTTCTCCCCTATTAAACCCATACCCGCAGATTCAGTTTTGTTCAGAGTAGGTCCTTACACCATAGTTGTCACTAGAGCTTGTCCATTAGTAAGCTGAGCATTGTGAGGGGTGTCTGCCTACTACTGTCTGCCTACCTGTGATCATGTGGGGTTGCTTCAATTTCCCCAGTTCCTTGAACAGCTCTGGGAGTTCTTGGACTGGGTTTATCTTTGGAGTTTTAGTCTTGCCTCAATTCAGCCTCTGTACTAGGCCTAATTCTTCACTTTCACATGCAACGACTAGGGCAGCTTTATGTTCACCTTTCTAATGTGGTCACTATCTGGCTGTTTTGGAGGTCTGCTGTGGACTCAGGCTGAAAGGTGCTGCATCTTTGGCACCTGGTGTCAGGCAATAACATGGTTAGTGTTGCCTGTGGGTCTGGTGGGACCCTGGGATGTTTCTTGTTCCTTGAAGCTCTCAGCTTGTCTAGTTGCTGTAATGGCTTACTCAAGGATAAAGATAGTGTTGAGTTGCAATGGCTCTAACATGCAGCAGACTCTTGTGGCACAAATATATGATCACATCATTTCACCATGAAACCTGCCTGTGAAGTCACAGCACTATGCTAGGGCATATAGGCATAGGGTGGTGGGCTGTGACAAAATCTTTCAGCAGATTCGCCCACTCCTAGAAATCATGGACACAACTTATATCATAAATACTCTTTGGGGAGAAAATAAAATGTTTGTCAAACATGCCAGTGATGGCAGTATAAGACTCCTTTTTCATGACTAAATGATAGCATAATGTCATCAGCCTGTGATCCAATCAGATATGGGAGAGAATTGATCTGCTCCTCTGGCTTGTTTTTCAAACTGGATGCTTGCCTAAATGTCTTAGATCTGGTCTTCCCTCTGGTCCTTACCTGCCTGGAAAGTGAATTGCCCTGGAGCTAGTATCTGATAGGCAGGAGCCCAAGTGCTGGAGCCAAGACTTACACTTGGGTTCTTCTGTGAGTCATGTAAAACTCACTTGAGCTTGATCTCAGGGCTTCCACCATTATCCTGATGCTGCCACTATATCATATTTGCTCTTTTGGGAAATATGCTCTTTCAGTACAAGCTGCAGAACAGCAGCTCCTAGCAGAGAAGGAAAAGAGTAAAGCATTCTTGCAACTTCATTCAACACAGCTCAACTCCATGCTTGCTAGACCTCACCAAGCAACCCCGACATCAGAATGACTGTATTCTAGTGACCACTGCTAGAGTACAGACACCAAGATTGGATTATGCCACGTGACCCGTGGGGTGGGGTAACTGGGAAATGAGTTTTGGAGCTTTTGCATCTATGACCTTGTCACTATGCTTTGAAGTTTCTCTAGATCAGCATATGGTCCGTGAGCTGGATCCGGCCCACAGAGCCAGAGAAGGCTTTGCCTGTGGCTAGGCAGCTTTATCTGTGCTATACTACAGCCAGGCATCAGTGAGAAGTGGGGCTGGGGTTTGGCCACACTTCATCTGTGTGGGATGTAGAAACAACAGCAGCAGCCACCTGTATCAAGTGAACTGGCCCACCATGGACCTGCACTGGCTTCACCACTCCAAGCCACTCCTCACTTCACCACTCCCCAGTTCACTACTCAAAGCTTCCTCCCCCTGCTATGAATAATAATTCTGGGATATTTCATCAACATCACTAATATGGTCTCAACAGAGCATCTTTTTGAATCATTTATTCCAGGGGTGGACAACCTGCAGTATTCATGCCATAAATGGCAGGTCTGGAAGGAAGCAGAGAAAATGGCAGCAGATGGAGCAGGCAAGAGAGTACAGCCCAATAGATGTGGCAGACAGGGCAGGGAAGAGTGTGCAGAGCAGTGGATCAACAGGGGAAGCAGACTGGAGTGGCACTTGGGGAGAAAGAAGCGGGGCTTACCTTGTGGCACACCTGTCAAAAAGGTTGGCCCCCACCTGTGTAGCCTGTTGTGGTCTATAAATGGTCAGGAAGCCTTTGCCAGCTTTGGCTCTGATTTCCAAGGGTAGCTGAACTAATTCACATCAAGTTGTTTTATGAGGTGCACCTCTTTTTGTACCTGATTTTTGCAGAGATGAGTGAAGCTGTCTGCCCCCTGCCCTGTCTAGGCCAGGGTCAGGGTCTGGATTTACAGTGGTCAGAAGGCCTTGTTACACCTTACGCTGTATGCCGCACAAATATTGTTCGGCTTAGTGCTAGCTTGGAATTTGCAACAGCCTCACCAAAGGCTAAAAAACTTTCTCTGCCTGCCTCCCACCTGCACAGCTGTGACTTGCCACTAGAAGGTTGGTGAGCAAGGGCAGGACGAGGAGCTATAGCAGCGAGTTGCCACTAGAGGCCTTGGGAGCCAGGACAGGCTTCTCTCTCTGCTCTAAAGCTGTGCAAGGAGAGGGAAATGTTTGTGGGCAAAAAAAAATCCCTCATCTGGTAACCCATGCTGCCTGCACCAGTCATATCATGATCCCTTCATGAAGGTGAATGATACTATCCAGGTGGACTTGAGGACTGGCAAAATTGCTGACTTCATCGAGTTTGACACAGGTAGGTCCCTTCTTCTCTTGTTCTGCCCTTGTACTCCACTCTGACTAAACACATGTTACTTGGGAGGTGAGGGTTTTTTGTGGTGACTTTTATAGATAAGGACAGAAGTAGCTTTTGCCTGCTTGGTAACTCCCCTGCCCCCCTGCCTGTTCCTTCTGCAAGGAGATAAGCACCATAATAAACAAATTAGGTTTTGAAATTTGGGGGGGGGGGGCTCAATTCACAAAAGTTATGAAAAGGCATCTCGAGTCTAATGAGGGGTCCCTTGAATCTAAAACGGTTAAGGACCAGAGATCTAGACCTTGACTGTCCTTCTGATCCCAT